ATACCAGCTTACATTCCCACCAGCAGTGGATGAAGGTTCCCTTTTTTACATCACCTCTCTAGCTCTTTTTATTGCTTGTATTATGGATAATAACCACTCTAATAGGTGTGAGATGGCATCTAATTATAGTTTTAATTAGCATTTCCCTAATTGTCAGTAAGGTTGAACATCTTTTCATATATCTGTTCATATGTCTACTTGAGAGAGGTGTATTTTCAGGTCCTCTGCCCACTTTTTGATTGGGTTGTTTGCTTGTTGTTTGAGTTTTATAAATTCTTAATATATTTTTGAAATTAAACCTTTGTCAGAGCTACTATTTGCAAATATTATCTGCCAACTGGTTGGCTGCCTCTTTGCTTTGTTGTCAGTTTATTTTGCTTTGCAGAATCTTTTTACTCTGATATAGTGCCATTTGTTTATTTTTGCCTTTACTTCATTTGCTTTTGGGGTTTAGTTTATAAAATGTTCTCTATAGCCAAGGTCCTTAAGTTTGGTAACTATATCTTGTTCTATGTAACCTATTGTTTTGGGTCTTATATTTAGGTCTTGGTCCATTTTCAATTTTTTTTTTTTTTGTACATGGGGACAGACAGTAATCCATTTTCATTCATTTTCATGTGGCTTTACAGTTTTCCCAGCACCGTTTATTGAAGGGACTGTCTGTACTCTGTTGTGTGTTTCTGAGTCCCTTGTCAAAATTTATCTGTCCATATTAATGTGATTTTATACCTGGGCTTTTTACTCTGTTCCATTGAGCAATGTGTCTCTTTATCTGCCAGTATTATGCTATTTTGATCATCATAGCTCTGTAGTATAATTTGAACTCAGGTAGTGGGATATCTGTAGCTTAGTTCTTTTTTGTCAGGATTGCTTTGGCTATTCAGGGTCTTTTGTGGTTCCATATAGATCTGATAATCTCTCATTCTATTTCTTAAAAAATGACATTGGGATTGTGATAGGATTTGCATTAAATCTGCATAGTGCTTTAGGTAATATGGCCATTTTAACTATGTTGATTCTTCCAAACTATGAGCATGGGATGCTTTTCCATTTTGTTGTGTCTTTTCAATCTCTTTTAATAATGTTTTCTAATTTTCAGTATATAGGGCTTTTACATTTTTTTTATCATCTCTGCTACACTATGCTTCTTTATTAGTGATTTCAGACCATTTATATTTAGAATAATTATTGATGTATGAGGATTTCCTATAGCTTTTTTATCTTTTATTTTCTGTTCTGTCTGTGACTCCACTGGTTCTTTTCCTTTAGGATTCTGTCCATTGTTTTGTTTGGTGGTATTCCATACTTCCTTTTTATTTTTTTAAGCTATGTGTCCTGGTTTGGGGATTTTTGTGTGTTGTTTCCATTAGATTTATAAAAAAATCAAGTTGTATATATACTGTTTTTTCTCTTTATTGATTAAGGTATTACATATGTGTCCTTATCCTCCCATTGCCTCCACACACCCCTCACTCATGCCTTCGCCCCCCTATTGTCTATGTCCATTGGTTAGGCTTATATTCATACACGTCCTTTGGATGATATCTCCCCCTTACTTCCACCCTCCCTACCTTCCCTCTAGTTTGACGATCTGATCAATGCTTCTCTGTCTCTGAATCTGTTTTTATCCATTAATGTATGTTGTTCATTATATCCCACAAATGAGTGAGATCTTGCAATATTTACCTTCCTCTAACTGGCTTATTTCACTTAACATAACCCTCTCCAGTTACATCCATGAGGTGTAAATGGTAGTAATTCCTTCTTTTTTATTGCAGTGTAGTTGACTTTTTTTCTTTTGAGTGTATCTAATATGCATCTTCCTTTGCCAGTTTAGACTTTTCCCCCTCTTCTCTTTTATGTTTTTATTGTCACAAATTTTCCCTGTTTATGTTATAATATATTTTTTAAAATATACTTTATTGATTTTTCACAGAGAGGAAGAGAGAGGGATAGAGAGTTAGAAACATTGATGAGAGAGAGTCATCAACCAGCTGCCTCTTGCACACCCCCTACTGGGGAGGTGCTCGCAACCAAGGTACATGCCCTTGACCAGAATTGAACCTGGGACCTTTCAGTCCGCAAGCCGACGCTCTATCCACTTAGCCAAACCGGTGCCGGCTATGCTATAATATTTTTTTTTTGTGTGTGATTTTCTATACAGTGTTGTGACCTTATGTTCCTTTGTTTCAGGTAGAATAACTCCCTTGAGTATTTCCTGCAATGGATGTTTTCTGGTGATAAACCCCCTTAGATTCTGTATGTCTGGGAAGTCTTTATTTCTCCTTCATATTTAAATGATAATTTTGTTGGATATATTATTTGAGGCTGGTAATTTCTCTTTTTCAGATGTTTGAATATTTGGTTCCACTTTGTTTTGGCTTGTGGAGTTTCTGCTGAGAAGTCGGATGAAATCCTAATGGGTTTTCCTTTGTAGATAATTTCCTTCTTTTCCCTGGCTATTTTGAAAATTTTTACTTGGTCATTAATTTTTGACAGCTTTAATACCTAGTGCTTTGGAGAGGGCCCCTTTGGTTTGAATTACCTAAGTGTTCAGTTTATTTCTTGGATTTGAAGATCTAGTTCTTTTCATAGATTTGGAAAATTCACGTCCAATATGTGTTTGAAAAGACTCTCTATTCCATGCTCCCTCTCTACTTCATCCACAGTGCTCATAATTCTAATATTGCTTTTTCTGATAGAATTGGATATGTCTCATAGAGCTCTTTTACTTTTACTTATGCTGCAGTCTCTCTCCTCTTCCCTCTGCATAACTTCTTGATACATATCTTCTATATTACTAATTCTTTCCTTTATCTGGTTGGTTCTCATTTCCAGGATTTCTGATTGGTTCTTTTTAAATGTTTCAATAATTTTGGTAAGGTACTCATTTTGTTCGATGATTTATTTTCTGCCAGTACTGAATTTCCTGTTGGTCTTTTCTTGCATCTTGAGTATTTTCATGAAATCTGTCATTTATATCACATATTTCCATTTGTTCCAACATGCTTTCTTGTGATTTTTAAATTTTCTTTCTGTCAACCTAGTTATGGTGCTTAATGGAATTTACTGTCTTCTTTTGGTTACTCATTTATCTCTGAAGAGTTCTTTCTACTATTTTTCAGTAGAGGGTGCTGAATTGCAAGATTTTTTACCTCTGTGGTCTCCCATTCTGGAACCTTTAAGTCTTCTATAAGACAGTGCAGCTGTGCTACTTGGAGGTGGGATTTGTTTAGCTGTCACAGTAATGGTGACCCCTGACTTCCTTGGGGTCCTACTCCAAGCATCCCTCCTGGGGATCAGTCACAGAGGGAAACAGCAGTTGTACTGCAACAGCTCTTGGTTTACAGATAACATGTTCCTGGACCTGACTCCAAAGGCAGCAGGAGGTGATTTTTGGGAATACAAGTAGCAGTATGGCTTTGTGGTTCTGCCTCTTTGAGCACTACCACCCAGACCTATAGTGGAACTCCACAGAGTAGAACCCCATACTCTTTCAGATATCTGCTGACTCAGTCACTGTTTGCTCCACTCTGCTCACCCTGCTAGACTGTCCTACAAATCTCTATGTTCCATCTTGCTAAAAGAAGCACCTGCTACTGTGGGCTTTCTCCCCTCTCCTGGCCAATGGAGCCATGAATTTCGGCTGCAAGGCTGTGTTTACTGGCTGTCTGTGCTTTCCTCTTTTCTTATCTTCCTATTTAATTCTGGTTGCCCACCTTTAGATATTTCAATCTTCAGGTCTCTTAGGTGTGTGTCTGTGTTGATGAGAGGTTTCTTTGTTAAATTATAGTTGGTTAACTTGTTGAAATTTCAGAGGGAGAAAAAAAAGGTATGCTCTCATGCCACCATTCCTCTGAAATCACTCTTCCCTCATTTTATCTTAAAAGAGCTATCTCCCAATAGAGTCACATTCTGAATTACATGGGGACAATGCTTTAACATATGAACTTTAGGGGGATACACAGGTTCAGTCTATTACATCTCTATTTTGTTCGTTTGGGGCATATAGTAGGTGTTCAGTTAATACTTGTTGTTAAAATAAAATCATGATTGACAAATAAATGAGGTAGAGGCTAACTTAAATACTAACTGAATTATATACCTGCTTAATGAATTATCAAAATTATCCATTATAATTATTAGAAGACAAAGGACACTTAATAAAATTCTTAAAATAGTTGTCTTAACTATAGTAAATATGTACCTAAAAGAATATTTATTATCAGTTTTGTGTGACTCATTCATATAGTGAAAAAAAAAACCCACACTTCCTTTGTGCAGAAAGCCTTACAACATATTTAATTATGTAAAAACTAATGATACTTGGTTTATGTTACATATAAAAATATAGTGTGCAGAAGGACATTTGTGACAGCTAAAGAACTTGCAGTTATTATTAAGACAATATTATAGTTTTCTCACTAGACTAGTTTAGAGATATAGTAATTTTTAATAGTTTATAACAATAATCCAGGGAGTTTTAAAAAATGCATGTATGCATATAATTTGTTACTAATGATTTTCTTCTCCAATCAATATATATAAATAACACCAATTACACAGGATCAATTCACATAAGAGTATGCTTAGGAATGCATTTAATATAATAATAGAGTTTTATTCTTTGGGGTGTATTTTCTGACCAAAGAAAATTACACATTAAATACTATCAATGCAAAATGCTCTTTGCTTCTATTTTTATGACTTTGCTATCTTATATTTACTGTGGAGACACTTCAAACAGTGGTATGATAACTGCTTCAGATATCTTGTAAGTATCTTTGCTTTTCAATGTAAGATGAAAAGTGAAATAGTCAAAGGCAAGCTAAAGGAGCAGTGCTTGTCAATCATAAGCAAAAGGAAGGATGGTGTTCTTTACAACTCCTATTATATATTGGAGGCTCAAATTAGATATTTAAATCATTTAGCCATTTTGAATGGAATTAAATTAACAGTTAAGTGTTTGATGACATTGTGGTGGGTTGTCTCTTCCCTAGGTGCTGGGAGATCGATGGGCAAACATCTGTAGGTGGACAGAAGATCGCTGGGTTCTTTTACAAGACATACTTCTAAAATGGCAGCGTTTTACTGAAGAACAGGTGAGTCATGTGGGAAAATGCATCAGTGAAAGACATGGAAAGATGTTAAACGAATTAATGAAAAAATGATAATCTACTTTAATAATTATTTTCTTTTTGGGAATTATTTAATTTCTTTCAGTGCCTTTTTAGCACATGGCTTTCAGAAAAAGAAGATGCAGTGAGCAAGATTCACACAAGTGGCTTTAAGGATCAAAGTGAAAAGTTATCAAGTCTTCAAAAGCTGGCTGTATGTATTTTTTATCTTTCAATCATGTGTTTTTAAAATCCCAATAGTTTATATGAACACCATTATTTCATTCTTCTGTTCTTCCTATCCTAAACTAAATGTCCATTGTTCTTGCTTAGATCAGCCTGTTTAACTATATCATATAGTTACTTTTCTTAATTAAAATAGGAAAATCTAAAGTGCCCTACCTCAGGCTGCTTTAACAAAATATCATAGACAGGGTGGCTTAGACAACAGACATTTAATTTGCACAGTTCTGTAAGCTGAGAAATATAATTAAGGTGCTGGCCTCTCGGTGAGGCCCTTTTCCTGACTTCCAGACAGCACCTTTTTTTATTGTTTGAAATATTACAAATAGTAGTACATATATCTCCTCTCCCTGCTCCCATTGAACTCCAACCCCCCCGGCCTCCCTAATTCCCCAGTACATGCCCTCACCTGCCCTTCCCCTGTGTTTTGTATCCCGTGGTTATGCTTATATGCATGCATACAAGTCTTACAGTTGATCTCTTACAGCCCAGCCCCCCAACCTCCCCTGCCTTCCCACTGTAGTTTGATAATCTTTTCAGTGCTTCTTTGCCTCTGTATCTATTTCCCCTCATTTCTTTTCTTTAAAAAGTATTGCCTCTGCAGACTAGAAATGATCATATAATAACAAAAAAATGTTTGAGTCCCAATTTCAATGACCAACAGTTCTGAGTCCCCATTTCAATGTCAAACAGTTCCTTATGTGTCAGCAATGATATCTAGATGGTGGGCACATGGTGGCAATGCAGGTCCGACCCTCTCTGATTTGATCCCAGGCAACCTGCAGCAATGCACAGCTGCTGACTGCTAGCATGGCAAGGCATAGTTAGTATCTTCCATCTCTGGACTGTTTCTCCTCTTGTCTGTGGTTGGAGCAGACCTTTCAATTCCTCTCTGTTTCAGGAATCCACATAATCTTGGAGTTGTTTTCTGAAAATATACAAACATCTTCTCGACCAAAAGTTAATGAAGTCATCTTTTCTATATAATTGATTTGGGATCCTTTTTATTTTTGCCCAAAAGATTTTCCTTTGGCTTGTTTAGACACCATGTGTGTTTTTCATGGGTGTCTTCCTGTTAGCAGTACAAATGAAAACTAATTTTGTAAAGTAAAATTTTTCTAGATGTAATTTACTTACAGGATATTTTTCCTTACATGATATTACCCTACTATCCCCCTTTTTTGATTGATGAAGGCTTTTGTAGATTTTATAATGCAGTCTTGATAACTTTAAATTTTAATTTTTTGCACAAAAATATGACTGCTTTAGGTTCATTGCATGTTTAGGAATTTTACCATGAGATGAACTACCAATAGAAATTTTAGTTACTACTTTAGGAGCAGCTTTTTGTCCAGTACCATTAGTTTTTCTAGAATATTAAATTATTTCAATTAGCCAATTTAAATTAATCTGAAAACTATTTTACTGCAAATTTAATACTCTACCAACAATCTTAGTTTACCCTATAAATATTAGTGGAAAGGATTATTTGCATTCTTAAATAGGCCCTGAGCATTCCTGGTGCTACACTGGATTTAGATTTAGGGCAGCTGCTGTTGGCCAAGTCTCTGTTACCTGGGTCCCCATCTGAGCTGGGCCAAGTCTCTGTCTGTCACCTGTGTCCTGATCTAAGTTGGGCTTGGGAAGCAAAGCAGCCATGGAGGCAGGAGACCTCCCTCAGAAGGGGTGAAGGTTCAGGCCCCTGCAAGGTTGGGGGGCTGAGAGTCTGTGCTCCACTTCTCTTGAACCCCAAATTCTCTCCTGATGGCACCTCTGCAACTGTGCCTGTCTTAGGTTGTTCCTTCCCTAAGAAATCTTACCCATCTCTGGCTAACCAGTCATCCTCCGGGCCAAGCAGGGTCATGTGATGTTCAGTTCTGTCTCCTTGGTAGCCTATGACCCTGTGGCCTCCTCACCCAGCACCTTCCTTGGGATCCCCTTGCTTTCTGGCGGGGCCCCAGCACTGATCACATATTTTGGGGAACTCAGGTTTCTTCTCCAGGGAGGGCCCAGATCACAAGATTGGTTGAGAGAGAGATCCATGGTACCAGCCACCATGAGGCTTCAAGCTCAGCATGTACAGAAAGCTCTCACAATAGATGAGGGAAATTAGATTGTGAGAAGAGAGTCCCTCTTGGCAAAAAAGGTAAGAGGGGCCAATATAGAATGCTCAAGTGCCTTAGTGCCTTAATTCCTTCTGAAAGGGATTAATCCTTTTATATCCTTTTTCAAATTGCTGCCAAACATTCAAAGAATTAGTTTGTAAGTTTGTTTGGGATAATTGTACAATATGCTGTTATAAAATATCTAAAATTATAATTACACCAGAGGCCTGGTGCACAAAATTTGTGCACTGAGGTGTGGGGGGCCTCACCCTGGCCTGTGCCCTCTCACAGTCTAGAACCTCTTGAGGGATGTCCCTCTCACAATCCTGGATCCCTTGCTCCTTACCACATGCCTGCTCGCCGCTTACCACTCAGCTAGCTGCTCCTTAGCACTGCTACAGAGGTAGAAGAAGCTCCTGCCACTGCCACTGCACTCACCAACTGTGAGCCTGCCTTCATGCTCAGTGGCTGCTCCCCTGTGGGAGTGCACTGACCACAGGGTCAGCTTCTGCATTGAATGTCTGCCCCTGGTGGTCAGTGCACATCATAGCGACTGGTCATTTCTATCATTCTGCCATAACAGTTGCTTAGGCTTTTATTATATAGATTGTAGAATAATATCATGTAAGGATATTCTTTGCTCTAGGCCATGGCAATTCAATTTCAAACTGGCTTTCAATTTCTTTTTATATAAACTTTGTTAGGGAGGCAAAACTTTATATAAACTTTGTTAGGGAGGCAAAAACACAAATTACTTACTTTAGTTCAAAAGGCAAAATATATTGACTTTCAATTACCATCCTTACGACTTTTGAAGGAAACTTCTCTTTGTTTCCTTCCAAAATAATTTTCAAGCTACAGAGAGTTTCATTTAAAAATCTTTGTGACATGAAACAATTTCTCTTAAGGTTATGGTGACCACTAGATTAGATTTAATATGTCATTTTTATTTTTTATTATATATTTTTTTCTTTTTTTTTTTTTACATATGTGTCCTTATTCCCCCATAACCCTCCAGCTCCCACTTATACCTTTTTGCTGTATCTTCACCTGGTGGAAATGGTGGTATCTCTTCCTTTTTTTAAAAGGGTACTAATCTGATCATGGGAGCTCTACTATCATGACCTCAACTAAGCCTAATTACCTCCCCAAAGCCCACCTCCTAATATTGTCATATTGGGGAGTTCAACCTTCAACACATGAATTTTGGAGAGATACAAACATTAATTCCATAAGATATAGGTAGATTTTCAACCTTATTTCCTAATAGAAAATTATACTCTTGAAAAAATATAGCATACCTGAAATAAGACTTTAGTTAGAGCATTATCCTGATATGCCAAGTTGGTGTGTTTGATTCCCATTCAGAGCATATACAATAGTCAATCAATGAATGCATAAATAAGTGGAACACCAAATTTTTCTCTCTCTCTTCCCCTCCCTCCCTCCTTCCCTCCCTTCTTCCCTTCCTCCCTCCCTCCCTCCCTCTCCCTAACTTTCTTTAAAATTAAAAAGAAAACATGACCTAAAAAGTGCTCAGTATATGTCTAAAGTAATATACTTCAGTAGTTCTCTGGTAAATATCAGCAGTACAAGAGATGATTATCCTCACATTCAAAAAGCTTTTACCCTATTTTGGGAAGTAAGGAAAAATATTAAAACCAATGTCATTGATTATAAGTGCCTGTGTTTTGATATCTAAGGGAACTTTGGCAGAACAAAAACCATTAGGGAAGTATTCATTAAGACATTTCAGTTTGAGATGAACTTTATAAGATTTAAAAAGAACTCTAAAATGTCTCTTTCACTGTTAATCCTACTATCAATATTTTCTAGTAAAGAAGAGGCCAATCTAATATTAAGTTTTATTTTTAAAGTAAAATATTGCATAATTAAGATTTCTTTTTTCTTTTTTTATAGATATGTTCTATTAAGTGCTAACTTGATGTCAACTCTAATATAAAACAAAGGTTTATTTTAAATGTTTCATAATTTTATCTAAATTTGTCTCTGTATTGATATTATATATCACACTTCATAGTAATTAAATTATTTACTTTAAAAGCTCTTCTTAAATAAATTTCCCTGTTAAATTTGGATCATTTTTAACATATTTATTTGTGTTATACATTTTTTGTTTCATAATTACTAATATTTAGGCTTTTAATTTAAAATAGAGTCACTATTTTATTACTGGTTATTACAAGCTAGCTTGTTGTTTATAAGAAATCATTCCTCAAAGAATATATATTTTCTTGAGTGATTATATGACAAAAGAAAAGTTTATAAAAAGTAATATATATATATATATATATATATATATATATATATATATATATATCAACAGGATGCAAAAAATATCTGATATATTTGCAGTTTTGTTCTGCAGCGATAGGGAGCCATTGAGAGTTTTATAACAGTTAAATTTGCATTTTTTTTTAACATTCTGTAGTAGTAAGACTTTTGGTAGTAATGAGACCAGTTTGATGAGCTAATCTAAAGTAGCATTGGGTGTGAAGAGGAGAGAGAGACAAGTTTATTTCAGAAGAGGAAATTAAGGCCCAGGAAAAAAACACATGGCATTTATATAAGAATATTAATAGCAGAGTTAAAATGAACACTAGGACATCAAGACTCTGGTCCAGGCTTTTCAAAACATTTCAAAACTTGTCATATAATTTGATTCCTTGACAAAAACTAACAGTAATCAAAAACTGTCATTTTGAACAATCATATGTCACTATGTTGACCTTTTTGTGTGTAAAGGGCTTTATTAGCCTCAGGGCAATGAAAATTCTCAGCAAACTCTCAATAATTTTTCAATATGATTAAAATTCAAATTATGTCATCTTACTTGTGAGCAAAG